TACTCTTTCTAGAGTCTCAACATCTTTTTTACATCGTGGTGACCAAAACTGGATGCAGTATTCCAAGTGTGGCCTTACCAAGGCATTGTAAAGTGGTATTAACACTTCATGTGATCTTGATTCTATCCCTCTGTTAATGCAGCCCAGCACTGTGTTGGCCTTTTTGGCAGCTGCAGCACAATCAGGAAAAGATGCATCTTCAAAAGCCATTTGCTTTTCAGTTGTATCAGAATGTGGAGCTTGAACTTGGCATCGTCCAGGCAGTTTAAATCAAATGCAAATTATAAATCAGTGATGAGGAAACTTATTGAGAGAAACATCAAGGTTTTTTTTAATTAAGCCTCTGATGACAGCAGAGGTTATAGCAATATCACAGTAATAAAGATAGTCCGTGGCTTAGGACCATAATTCAGTCTGCAGTCATCATGTAACTAACCAATTTTATAACATTTTGGTATTAAGCGAACCACCATGATCATTAAGTGAATCTGTGGTCATTAAGTGAATCCATTGTTCGCTGTGGGTCATTTTTTTGCCGAAATTGCAAGTAAATGCTGGTTTTCGGCAAAACATCATAAATTGTGGTCATATGACAATGAAGAGAGAGCCATCAATAGTTTTGGATACCATCATAATTTTGAATGCCTGCTGAACAACCAGTTGTAAATCAAAGATCACCTGTGTACCTCAATGATGAGGGGCTGAACTTTCTACATTGTTTTGTTTGGATTTTGTCTTCATTTAAAAGTTTAGAAACAAATTAAAAATAATGTGGGCAAAAAATGTGCCACCTAAAACAGGCAATTTGTTAGTAATTATAGCAGAGCGAATCTGGGGCAGCTTCAGAAATGGGGTTTTCATGAAATCTATAGGGGGACATACAGATTGATTATCCCCAATGCAAGTGAACTATTAACAAATAGTTTAATAATAATAATAATAATAATAATAATAATAATAATAATAATAATAATAATAATAATAATAATAATAATAATAATAATTAATAATAATAATAATAATAAAGTTGGAAGGGACCTTGGAGGTTATCGAGTCCAACCCCCTGCTCAGGCAGGTAACCCTATACCATTTCGCACAAATGGCTGTCCAGTTTCTTCTTAAAAACTTCCAGTGTTGGAGCATTCACCGCTTCTGGAGGCAGGTTGTTCCACTGGTTAATTGTTCTGTCAGGAAGTTTCTCCTTAGTTCCAGGTTGCTTCTCTCCTTGATTAGTTTCCATCCGTTGCTTCTTGTCCTGCCTTCAGGCGCTTTGGAGAATAGCTTGACTCCCTCTTCTTTGTGGCAGACCCTGAGATATTGGAACACTGCTATCATGTCCCCCCTCATCCTTCTCTTCGTTAAAATAGACATACCCAATTCCAGCAACGGTTCCTTATATGTTTTAGCCTCCAGTCCCCTAATCATCTTTGTTGCTCTTCTCTGTACTCTTTCTAGAGTCTCAACATCTTTTTTACATCGTGGTGACCAAAACTGGATGCAGTATTCCAAGTGTGGCCTTACCAAGGCATTGTAAAGTGGTATTAATACTTCACGTGATCTTGATTCTATCCCTCTGTTAATGCAGCC